AAGTCAGTATTTTGAATAACAGTCGTTATCAGCGCGTCGAGCGGTATGAGCTTATTAAGTTCATCCGAAAAAGATGCTGAATTATTTTATCTTTGCCTATTAATATATAAATAATTAGATTTGGGGATATAAATGTACGTTTTGCACTAGTAGCCAAATCAAGATTTTTTAAATGTTTGCCGCCTTGTCCGTTTGTACCCATCTCACTAAAGACTATCAACAAAAGTATAAAGAAAAAAATGTTCGAATATATTACTACGGAATCTAACATGAACCACCCGATGAAACTAGTATGTAATGGTGCAGTTGTCTATCCAGAGGACTTTCCGTTGTATGAGCGACATGCACGGCACCCAGTCATTAGTCGGTAACTTGGTCCTTTAGCTACCTATCACCTATCTCCTCGTTTAGTCCAAATAGAAGCTCCAAGTAATAGCCCTCTTCATTGCGAATTACAAATAACAATAAATTCCATGGAATAGAATCTTTATCGGTTTTTCAATCGACGCCATTTTTATTTTTTCAAAGCTCGTGATGTATTTTCAAACTGATGTACAAATATAAAAGATACCTACCTATACGTATAATATTTTTTAGAAAATCTTATTGAAGTAGTCATCACTACAAGGCCGTATATATAGTTTTTAGAATTTTTGTCTATCTGTTACCGCATCATGAGAAAATCACTGAACAGATTTTGATGAAATTTGGTATGATGGTGGTTATCCGGGTCAACATATGTTGACCCGGATAACCGGTCAACATATGTTGACCCGGATAACCACCATCCTATATAGGATACGTTTCACTGGGAAAAAATATTTCATCTCTGAGAAATCTATACTAAACGTTAAAACATAACTAGGAACGAACCCGAGCGGAGCGAGCGATAGTCGCTAGTTTGAAAATATAATAAAGAACATTTAATCGTTTAAGTGTAGAATAAATGTAAACAATAAATACACAGTAAATTTTATGTAGTGACATTTTTAAAGTAACATATTTAACAAATTAAATGTTAGATTAAATTGAATTATCTATATCGTATAAAAATAATAAAAATCTTTTTGTACCTATTTTTTCCACAACTTGTCAACCAATTCTTTACAAATACGTAACAAAAAGTGAAACGTAACTATTTTATTTGTTATAAAACAGAATGGAAGATTTTAAACGTATTATCAGTCGATAACCTACCCCAAAAATTTTCAATCAAAACAATATAAAATCATAATAAAAATTATAATTTTATGTTTAGCTTCGCGTTTTTTCAAAATGCGTTTAACTATTTTATGAGAGTAACGAATTCAAATATGCACAAGATCGAAGCCGGTTCTATAATCGCTAATAAAACAAAAAATAATTTACAAAAATAAAAAACACTTCGTACATTCGAACTTTATTTTATTTATACACATCTGTTTTCCAATTATTCCAGCTATTTACATAAAATCATTAAAAATTCTACCGTAATAAAATAATAGCTTTGTAATGTGAAAACTCACATTCTATTGTTATCTATGTACTATATACAGACCCATACAACTGTAGTGTACTCCGAATACCGAATACATACATAAAATACCACATTATTTATTGCTACATACTTCAAATTCATTTAAAGTATAATCCGTTCATAAGTTATTATAATGAAATCAAATAAACTAATCACAAATTGAAGCAATAGTGCAAATAAGACCTGACGAATTAAATATATAATAATAATATAATTCATTATTTTCAAATCAAAATAATAAAAGGAATAATAAATACAATATAAATGATTAATTTAAAGGTCATCATAAATCCTGAATAAAAAAAAATTAATACACTCGTCTAATAATAGTAATATAGTGTATCTATTTGACTATTATTAGTTAAAATAGTTGAATCTCAATAAAATAGAAAAATTATTTAAAACCATAAAAAAATATTTACAGCAACAATGGCGACTCGACGCACTAGTATATATATAGGTGACCTACGTCTTAGTAGTTTTGTCATGTTTTATCTTAGTTTATGACGTAACTAACGCAAAACATAATTTTATTATATTTTTAATTATTTATCACTTTAACAGATAACAGTGAAATATCACATTATAATAACCCTTCAAATGGCAAATAATATTTAAAACTATGGAGAGCAAACATGAATGACCATCATTCGAATACATACTCTTACATGGCCACTTGCAACAAACAATGTTGTAACTTAGTATTGAGATAATTTAAAAATAGAATTTAATTTCCTTTTATATTTTTAATTCCAAATTCAAAATTGCTACAATATTGAGTTACAATGTAATTCTTAGCAGGTATCAATATATCATAATCAATAATATTCGTTAAAAATCATTCATAATTGCTCGCCTCTAACGAAACATAAAGAGATAATAATTGTCAAATGAAAAAACATCAAAATGACAAATAAGGAACATCACTAGGAAAAATACAAAGGGCTATAGAACATGCTTCCAACAATACATGTTTTAACAGAAGATTTCTTATGTCATTGTAAATATTTTAGTATATCCATAGTGTCATTGAGAGAGATTTTACAGTGAGAAGATAAATTACGCCTTTAATTAATTTTGACTCTTAATATTATTATTTTTTTATTTATGAAAGAAATATTTTTACAAAAAAATCTAATGATTGATTTTTTAAAATAGATTATAAAAATACTTTCGTTACTTATGTACATATTGACATCAAATAGACACAGATTGGCACAAAATTTAAAACCAAAATTTAGATAGCGAAAAATCTATCATATATTCGCAAAATATTTTAATTGCCACAAAAAATGAGAAACTTTATTTTTTTTTTATATTTTCATTTAATCACCCGAGTTGTTGTGAAGCAAAGCAAGAAAATAGGGAATATGTACTTCGCTTATGAGCGGCAAAATAAAAATTACGAAAGACGACAAATTGGTTAGAACAAAATATTATGTCAGATGCCATATTAACAGATTTATTGTTGACATTTACATTGTATTTGTAGTATTTGATAAGAGAAAATGGTTCGTACATATTTATCTTTAATCTATGACACCTATGACGTAATAGCAATTTATAGATTATCCAAAACGATAACATAACGGATAACATGACATTTAACATGCGAACGTGGTAGAGAACTGCTAAAATTTGTTCACTTTTCTAAATATATTTTTCAAGCATATTAAAACATTTCAAAGTTTATATTGTATTAAAAATTTTATATTTTACATTGTTTTAAAAAACATTGAATTAAAATTTGCAAATATATTCCTTTTTTTCCTAATTTTGAAAAATCTCTTAAAACATACGGTATTCCATCCAATTTTTTTGATCAAAATCATATCTCCAAAATCAATCTTCCATAACATAATTCAAGCCCACTATAAAATCTCTCTTTACAACAAACGAAGTACAATAATGTCGACAACATTTATATATTATTGGAGTTTTTATGAGGTCAGAGTACTCACGTATTGGAACAGGCATTAAGTACACCTAATTATTGAAAGGCACTAGACCCTAATCTACAATAAAATTTCTGTACACGGTATATAATTTATATATCAGTGATACAAACTTTATCCTATTTATGCTGCATCAATATTATTTTAATACTTAATTTGCGATTTTCTATCTGTAATTGTTGAATATCGGATTACATGCATTCAAATTCATTTATAAGAAATAAACCCGTTATATAGACGATATTCGGTTATGATTTTAAATTAGTTTCAGCACGAAATAGTATTAGTTCCTATAAATATAATTTATTTATTTTTTTATAAATGTTAAAGTTTCTAAGATATTTAAGAGACATTTGACAGTACACCATTATACGGTTTTAGATGAAACTCGGCAAATATAAGCAAAATTGCTAGATACAAATTTATATATAACCGAATTTAATTTGAATGTTATTTCAACTTAATTATTTTTTTTATTATAAATTAAAACATCGAAAAACTCATGATGAAAAAAACTCTATTCCATACTAAACGTCAAAATGTACCTATGGGACGAACATGAGCGAAACGAGGGTGAGTCGCTAGTATTATAAACAAATTCCTTTCTCTTTACAAATGCATATTAATCCGATATCCAACTAAGTTATCTATCAAACGAATATCTCAATTAACTACAGTGCAATTATATAGGCAATAGTAACAGTGTTTCTTTTCATTATGCACATTTTGCATACGACTAGCCAAATTTAAAAGTATTTACAATAGAAATAACGATTAAAGGGTTTCGTAAGTGATCAAATAATTAGTAAAATCTTATGAAGTTATCAATATTGCTCGACAGTCTGTGGCTTTGATTGATAAATACCTAAAAAAAACAAATAATTTGACAAACAAAAAATTTGACAAATTATTTGATCGTTTACTGGACCCTTATATAATAATAAAGCGAAATATATAACAACTTGATAATACAGTGTGCTTTTGAGTATAAACTACATTAAATGCATGTTCACTCAATCAAATACTTATATACATGACTATATTAAACTATCTTACGAGAACATTTTTTTTTAATTTACACATTTTAAAATTTTGAACAGCGTTTAATTCGAAGGAGCCGTAATTTTCAACAAGTGCTTTGTACTGTTCTTTTTGCTCTTTAAATATTTAATTTTCTAAAATGATTATGAATGAATTCTTCTTTGGAAAACCGATTATAGAATAATTGGTTAATTGATTATATATGTTTAATTTAAAAATATGTACGGAGAGCTCTATTTAATTCTCCAATAAATTATCATTTACAAAACAAGTAAACAAATAAACATTAAAAAATTTACTAAGAATCATTCATAATCATTTAATTACAATCAATTTAAAATTCTGCCGAGATTCAACTTACGCAATTGTGAAACTTTTCTTAAGAAATGCGTGAAAAAATATTTAAGCAAATGCTATTTTATTAAACACTATAAAAATAGAAACTTATAGTTTCGAAACCTCTAGTGCAAAGTATTAAGCTACAACTAAGTGCTATAGTGTCGGCGATTTTTAATTTTCGATACCAAATTGCAAATTTTCAAAGCAGGTCCTAGTTTCAAGCCCATATATTTCATCATCATATCTGAATTTAATAATAATAGAGCCTTCCCGTCTATTTCCTGTAAAGAGAAAAATTAAAATATGGGTTAAATGTAAGAGCTTAAGAATTATTATTTTAAATTAACTTCAATAATTTAACTATGGTCCACCAAGAGGTTCTCTTGTATATATTAAAGTTTTTAATAATAATAATTCACCCATAACATTACAAACATACTTCAGTAAATGGATCCTTACTAATTATCTAAAATTCTGAGTTGAATATGTACATCAAATATTTTTTGGAAAATCTAACTGAAATAATTATTATTATCGATACAGAAGCCAAATGTATAGTTTTCAGAATTTTTGTCTTTCTGTCTGTCTGGGAACCCATCACGAGAAAACCACTGTACAGATTTTGATGAAATTTTGTATGATGATAGCTGGTTATCTGAGTCAATATAAGGGATACTTTTTTATTTGATTTCTTGAAAAATCTCCTAAACGTTAAAACGTAACTATTAGAGTAACGTTAGAGATATCCATACTAATATTATATATGTGTGTGTGTGTGTGTGTGGGTGTGTGGGTGTGTGTGTGTGGGTGTGTGTGTGTGGGTGTGTGGGTGTGTGTGTTTGTTTGTGCTTTCACGTTGAAACGGAGTGACGGATTGGCGTGATTTTTTGTATGGGGTTACTTGGAGGGCTAGAGTGACATAGGCTACTTTATACCGCGGGACATTATCACGGAAGACAGGAAAACACGTTGTAATACAATCCAAAAAAATATTTATGATCAGAATTACTTGAAACTTGGCCTTTAGTTTTAGCGCGAGCGAAGCCGCGGGTTCCGCTGGTATATAACATTAAATACATAGATATCTATAATATAAAAAAGAATCGCTGAATGTGTTGCTAAGCGCAAATCTCGAGAGCACCTGAACCGATCTCGCTAATTCTTTTTTTAGAATATTCCTTTAAGTACGAGGATGGTTCTTACAGGGAGAAAAATTTAAAAAATTGCCTGAAAAAGTCTAAAAACAACACTTTTCTATACTCCCATACAAAAGCTTCGTAATAATACATAAAAGTCAATTTGAATTTTAATACCATACCATAAAGTTTAAATGTTAGTGGAAAGGTTCCGGGAAGGCAAAACAATTAAGTGATGTTAGTATCGTATAAATATTAATGTCAATATTTGTCAATATTACTAACAAAATTTTTTTAAATTATATGGCTAACAGTGGCTAATAACTATTTATATCTATTTAAAACGTACCTAGCGACGAACCCGAGCAAAGCGAGAGTGAGCCGCTAGTTATAAATATAAACACCCATGATATGAGTACAAACACTCCTGCTCATCACAAAAACAAACGCCCCCAGCGGGACTCGAACCCGCGGCCGCTGGCACAGCAACTAGGGTCACTACAAAAGGAGCCAAACGTATCATCAAACGTCAAATATAATTCGAACAAATGAAGATGTACTCACGTCTTCTATTCCGTTCTATAAATACCAGTTTGCAAGTACACGCACGCACTCAATATGCCAACATTATCAGAACAAATGAAGATGTACACAAATGTCGCCTATCTTGTTCTCTAACAAGGTTTATTAACATTGATAATGTTGGCAACAAATTTTTCATTTTATATATAATTCGGCGTGTAGCACGCATATTTGATGCAAACATTATCCGACCAAATGAAGGATGCACTCACATGTTTCCTGAACAGGTCGGCGTGCGCTGCGAGCGCCTGATCGGCGGCCGCTATGAACCCGATGACGTCCTCGACGGACCAGTCGGCGGGCGGCGCGGCGGGCGGCGGCGGCGCGGGCGCGCCCGTCGTCGATGACGCCGGCTCGGGCCGCTCGGGCGATACGCGCGCCATCTTGCCGCTCGGCTCTGTTGGGTTTGTTGGTGTTGTCGGTGGGGATTCCTGGAATGTCAATATTTTATATTAAGTTATTTTAATTGTGTATCACTAAGGCTAGGTTCACACGGCATTGTCCTGAACGTTTTTTTAGTATTTGATTTTAAACGTACAATCAGCCAGGTGTTCAAAAGGTAGATTTTCATTCGTGTAAAAACGAAATCCGCAGTTTTCACACATTGCCATAGTGAGTAGACGTCAGTGATGGATCCAAGCTTGATTGTACTTTCATATTGGTACGAAGGCGCCAACGGTTGCTATTCGATAAAATGCGTATGACATCGTGCCGTGTGAAAGAGAGAGAGCTAACCTATGCGCCACTGCAAACCGAATTCATTCGATTTGCTTGACAAGTCCGGTGAGTATTCGGTTAAACGTATAAACGGTGTACGATTTTTTAAAAGGCATGTGAACGATTCTATGTACAATGTATTGCCACTATGTATTCGTTAAGACGTATATAAATACGTAAAATAAATATAAAAACGAATATCCGCAGTTCTCACACGTTGAGATAGAGCTAAACTATGCGCCTCTGCAAACCGAATCCGTTAAAGTTCATTCGATTTCATTGATAAGTCAAAAAATGAAGTACAAAATTAATTAATTACACTTATAAATAGTCCCTAGTATTATATAAATTGAAATCTTACACTAGGTCTCTTCACAGCCGCTGATGTGACGGTATTAGATGTGGACTCGCCACACAATGTGCAGGGCCGGCCTGCCGCTTCTCCTGTATCAATTTCTATCATTCCAACGCAGCATCCAACTCCTAAACATACTGATTTCAGCCAATTCTTTAATTCTTCTGTTGATAACTCTAATGGTACTTTTACAGAATAATTCTTATTTCCTGAAGAAACCTGAAATAAAGCATGTAATTTTATCAGAAATGTTATTTTACACAAAATAGTTAAGTAAACAGAGAATTTAAATTTTTTTTAAATATTTTATACTCTTTTACACACGAAAAATAGGCGCGCAGACGTCGAGTTGCGGAAACAAGCCCGTTTATGCCATACCATTTAGACTCTTTTAGTACAAAAAATAATTTTTTTGTTGAGGGTGCAGCACATAAAATAATAATCATTAATAGCATAAAGTAGCTTGTAAGGTTTATGCAAACAAACTAATATCAGATAAAGAGCTTCTCAAAAAATACTATTTACTTTGCATACAATATAAACTACTAATGATTTTTTTTTTATATTGTGCCAATATCATAAAAATCCATGTTTACTCTTATTGTCTAGAGTTTGATCCACTTATGTAATACTGTCTAGTACAGGAGTTCCCTTTTAGGGAGTTTATTTTGTATATCTTAAAATTAAAATAAATAAAAATAAAGGGGGGCATAAAAACATAAATTGCTAAAATAATGTTTTATTATAATAAAAAAAAATAAAGGCAGGCATGAAAATATTTAATCTGGGGATGCTCAACAGAAGATAGTTGGGAAACCCTGTTCTAGTGCAATAAAATAGGATATATTTCTCAAAAAATATCCATAAAGTATCAGTTTAATTTCCCTCTACAATAATACATTTTTTTTATTATTATTTATATTATATATAATAATATTATTTTTTTATAATTAAAAATTATTTTAAATTTATCAATTTAAAAAAAAAGAATGTAATATCAAAATAATTAACAATTTACCTGGACATTGGTTATATTAGAATAGCTACTAGATGCGGTAAGAATGGCTCTCGTTAACTTTTGAGGGTCAGGATGAGAATTTAATAACTCTTTAACCAAATTCTCTGCAACTCCTGAAGCCCCAACCCCTGTTATTGAAGTGGGTAATGCTGCACTACCTCCAGAACAACTGCTTCGGATACGCAATACAACATTTGCTATAGGTGTAATTGTATTTGTACTATTTGCATTGCCTGTACCAGTAGATCCTCCTTCTGGTAAGGCAGGATTAGGAATACCGCTTGGACGTAATTTAAATCTGAAATTGTGTGAGAAATTTATTTATCAATAACATATTCAAGCCAAATATTGCCAATATTAAATTGTAGTGTGCATGCAGAAAATGAATAGAAAACTTTTTTTTCTTCTTTGTAATGAATATTACAGATAGATAAAACAAGGCAAATTTTGTAATACAATAGGTTTTCTATAATCTCAGTATTACATAAAAAGGTAAATTATCTTAAATATCAGATATTTTTCCTTACCTTGACGGGGCACTAGCACTTTTTTGACCTGGTGGTTGCAAAGGATGACCTGCCCTTGCACACCAACCCACAGGAAATATATCTCTTGAATCATATCTACACCAATAATCAAAAGCACCACGCCACCCATCAAAAGTAACATGAATTTGATCATTTTTCACAGCTCCAACTGTAGCACAACATATAAGCTGGGGATTTTTCTTATCAACTGCTTCTAATTTTTGTCCAACTACAAACAAATTAGATTTAGGAGTAGGTGGCTCTGCTTGGAAGACTTTTCCTGGAGCCATTTCAGCTCCATTTAATGTCTTGAGCAAAAACATTGGCCAACTACTAGCATTCATACGAAAACCTAGTGGTGGCTGCAACATTCCATCATTTTTTTCACAATGACCAATTGTATGTATATCACCAGCATCAACAAGCCTCCAAAAATCATTTTTATTATCACTGCCATCTAATCTTAGCCTCAATCTTGGCCCTAGGACACCTACAACTGTAGCTATGCAAGTAGAAGTTAGATTTCGGGGATCTAATGCTTCTAATTTCATATTCACTTTAAAGTCATTCACTGGTGGTGTAGGAGCTTGCTTAAAACAATCTTGTGGAGCTGCTACACTATTTGTTTCTTTCATATATTCGTTCCAATCAAAGGTTTGATATATATCGTAAAAAGATCCTGTGGAATTATTATTAGAATGAGTTTCTGAACCATTTGCTCCATTACCAGACTGAGGTGAAGTTGTCCGTTTTTCATTTTTCTTCTGATATTTATTAAGACAATACGTCGAACAAAAGTTTTTGCTGCTAGAAGGAGCATTGCCGCGAATAACATTATCACAATGTAGACAGGCGCCCTTGCTATATGCCTGTCTAAATTCTGACAAACACGTTTCTGAACAAAATTCTTTTTTTCCATTTTCTGTAGGCAAAACATATTTTAAAGGCGTTTTACTTTCAGCACACCAAGTGCATGTGCGTTTTGGAGGTCTTCCAGGTCCACGTATTTTGCCGGGAGCATGCCCCGACGAGCCGACAGTATTGTTTGACATTGTTTCGATGCAAGACTTTTAAAACATTATTGTAAAATATCCATTTACACAGTTATTACAATCCTTACATTGTATTCAGAGCACACATTAAATCAAAACGTAAGTATCGTTAGGTAATTATAAATAATTTTTGCACAAATATAAACAACGTCAGTAACTATTTATGACGCCATTCCAACAGCCATATTAGTTTTATTTTTTTAATTTTCAGTGCTGCCAGTATCTTAGCCACGTAAGTCATTAAAGAAGCATAATATGTTAATTAATTAACAACAGTTAATAATAAAATATTTAACAAATTATTGCTAAAAATGTTAATGTAAAATATAAATATAACTTTCATTATTTTTTTTGTAATATGTAACGAAACGTAAAACTTGACAATGGAGAGGATTACTCGAAAGGAGAGCGCTACACGTATGGCCTATTTTTAACAATATTGGTCGTCTTATTGCTTTAGTCCACAATTTCTTCAATTTTTGTCCTTTGAGAAAAATTATATCGATTTTCTTTACATACTAACACTGCACAATTTGTCATTTTAAATTTTAAATAAAATGAAAAAATCCATCCAGGCTACATATACGTCTTTACAAAATGAAGAAATGAGGATTATAGTGATCGCGACATCTGTTGAGCGAATAAGGCAGAATTTTTCCCCATTAAAGTGGTATTTTATGCACACTGATTATTAAAATATAGATAGGTAAAAATGATAAAACCAACTAAAAATAAATCTATTTCGTTTAATTTTTTACACCTAATATAATAAATTATTAAATGTCCACAAATTATTATTATTTCAATTTTCGCTTATGGTAACAAATTAATTATTAATTTATGATCCGAATTCCGAGATAATTATAAATTATTGTAAAAATATTATTTATAAATTTAGGTTTTAATTTATATGACTACTAGAATTTTTGTGAGAAAAATGTCTAACAACGTTGGAGCAAAGCTCATAAATAATATTGAAAAAGCCGAAAAACTTGTAGCTGAACTTAAAACTAAGGTTAAGTATTAAATCCAGGTTTACTATTAATCTTTAAATAAAATGTTTTAAGGTTAATAAAAGAAATATTTTAATTATTTGATTACTTCTAATTTAATAATTTTAGCTCGGCGAAGTTACTAAATTTAAAGTTGAAGTAAAAATAAAAGAACTAACGCAAGACAACGCATCTTTATTAAAACAAGTCGAAAAAGCTAAAGCTGAATTAATACGACTAGAAATATTACATGGTAAAAAACAATATCCTTTGCCAGGAAAAGTCATACCAAATGTAACATCAGAACAACCATGCCCTAAAGAAAATGTTCCACCAGCTGTTAAAAAAGAGAAAAAAGATAAGGAAACTAAGAAAAGCAAAGAAAAACAAGCACAAGTACCAAACAATGACACTGTTGTTGATATCAGAAAGTTAGATTTACGTATTGGCAAAATTGTGGACATAAATAAACACCCAGATGCCGACACCTTATATGTAGAGAAGATAGACTGCGGTGAAGACAACCCTAGAACAGTTGTATCAGGACTGGTTAATCATGTTCCTATTGAAGAAATGAAAGACCGAATTGTTATGGTACTATGTAACTTGAAACCAGTAAAAGTGAGTATAAACTTATATTCTATGTTAAAATAATATATTATGATACATTGTAACCATAATTTCTATTAAAAAATCTATGAAAATAATATAATCTAAATACTACTGACAAACTTTATAATATAATCATGTCCTTGAATGGCACTGTCTTCGTCTGAGAACATTGGTTTAATACAAAGCAAAATGTTGTGTATTTAAAATAGGGTTTTTTTTAGTTAGGTATGGATAAAATATGAAGTTTGGAACTACATTGCAATATGCAATGCAATTAAACTTGTAAAACCAGAGGATGTAGATATATTTTTTTTCTAGATGCGTGGAGTTACTTCAGAAGCTATGGTTATGTGTGCTTCTTCACCTGAGAAGGTAGAAGTTCTTATACCACCAAATGGATCCGTTCCTGGAGACCTAGTATCTTGTGAAGGATATCCTAGAGAGCCAGAACCACAACTGAATCCCAAGAAAAAGATATTTGAAACTTGTGCACCTGATCTTAAAACAAATGATGAATGTGTAGCTTGCTATAAAGGAAGTCCTTTAGTTGTGCCTAGTAAAGGCCCAGTAGTAGCACCTACACTCAAAAATGTAAATGTTAAGTAAACTTTAAATAGATTTTTTTTTGAATAAATAGTTTGATACCATACATGTTATTATTATTTTAAAATATTATACATGATACTAATTAATATATTAAAACCTTAATAGACCAATCGGAATCTGTTTATTTTTAGGAGAAAAAATATATATTGAAATCCTGAAGTTTTATGATTTTAAAAATGTTAGCAGGTATATAAGGAATTCGTAAAATGCCCCCTTTGCCCAGCTACTCCCGAGAAATGGGGGGACACAAAGCGTTGAAAAATAATAAATTTCCGGCTTACTGTTACGTTCTATCGAAAAATGTTTTCTACAAATGTTAGGTCTAGTTAAATGCTACAACTTTTATAAATAACACTACAATAACCTCAAAATTTTCGAGATATTTGCAGAATAGGTACTCGGATTTTAACTTTTTCTTGGTTTTTTTATTTTTAATTTCTATAATAATCTTTTGATTTTCATGAAACTTAGGGAATGTAATCTTCGAAATACATATAATAAATGAAAAAAATGGAAATTGAAATGTTTAGCCATTTGCGAGAAAAGTATGTTTTAAGGTCTTGAAAGGCTGAAAATCACAAATTGGAGAAATTGATAAAATTTTATTTGTAAACTACATTTTTTTCAATTATCATTGAAGAAGTTTATACCCAATTTTTATAAACTGATTACACCAATGTATTTTTCGTAATGTGTCCTAAAGTTTTAAATTTGAGGCCTATTATTTATACAATGTCGCCGTAAACATTCCAACTTTGCAATTTGATGAGTCGTGAAAAAATTATCAAAGTTGAAATTCACGTAAAGTATTTAGTATACCATTGCTTTTGTATTTTTTTGCCGTAGAATGTATGTTATTATTTTTTCGAATTTATCGATATTTTATTAGTTTTTGATCGATTTTGGAGTTAAATTTATTGTTTTTTTCTGAATAATTTGATTTTAAGGACAGAAAGAAATGAAATTCATTCAAAGTCTAATCTTATTTATTCATTAGTTAAAAATATAATTTAAAAAAATTAAGCTGATATTTACAAAATTTAGTCATAGTTTTATTAAAATTACATAAAAAAATGTAAAAAATGAAATGAATGAATTTTCATATTAATAATTATGAAAATAAATATTATAATATATTTTTTACAAAAAAAGTGAGCGATATCGATTATTACGTCCTTTAGGACGTCACTATATCTTGTTAGTCGTCGAGCTGTCAAAAAACTATTAATAAAATGGACAAACTATAGTATAGATTTCTCAGAGATGAGATACTTTCCCACAATAAAAAGTATGCTATAAGTTGACCTGGATAACTAGCTATCATCATATCAAATTTCATCAAAATCTGTCATCATAACACAATACCTACTATGCACATGGGGTCTCATCACGAACAAAGAAAATTTGTTCAAATAAATGTCAATAGATGACGTTACATATATTGATTTGTTATATAGGTTGTGTTAAATTAACAAAAGATAAAAAAAAAATATCCCAAGAAGCTGTATTATTGTTTTAAAAAATAATCTAAGTGAAATGAAATAATTCGACAGTAAATCAAATTTGCGTAATTTTACTGATTGCGTAAAAAGTAGATAATATAATAGATGTCGGTAATCCGCAAATTGTTGAAACTATTTTATAAGTAGGTAATTACAAGCGACTCACCTTCGCTACGCTCTGGTTCGTCCCTATGTATATATGTATACCTATCTAATATTATAAAGAGGCAGTATTTGTTTGTTTCAGGAACTACTAATCCAATTTAAATTTCAGGAACTACTAATCCAATTTAAAAAATATGTTTGCATTAGAGAGCCTGTTAATTGAGGAAAGTGATAGGCTATATATAATCATGCTACTACCCAAGGGAGCGGAGCAGTAGGTAATCATAAATGTCAAATCGGGCAGGACAATCTGACAAACAATATTACTACTGCCTCGGTGGTGTAGTGGCTAGCATGTACGGCTGCACACCCGGAGGTCCTGGGTTCGAGTCCCGGGTCGGGCCAAGTTTAGTTACTGAGTATTTCTGTACAGTAAGCCTGAGTAATAGCCTGGAGTTGGGAAGTTAGCGGTGTTTCACCCCCGTGCCTCGGAGAGCACGTAAAGCCGTCGGTCCTGCACCTCAACTCTCACTGGTCGTGTCGAGCAGTCGTCCCACCGGAGTATGAGAGTGACAGGAATAGAGAGTGCACTTGTGTCTGCGCGTACACTTGAGCACTATAACATCTCCTGCGCAGTTGGCTAATCTCAATGAGATTGGCCGCCGTGGCCGGAATCGGTCAGGAGAACATCATCATCATCACTATTACTATTTACTTAAATTAATTCTTCTTTATAGGTACGTGATGTGACCTCTTACTAAAATTAGTAAGGTTCTTTATTAGTCTTTAGAACTGAATGTACAAAAATGTGTTTAAGGCAAAATGTAGAAACAAAAGCTTATAACGAACGATTTACGGTTTACAGAAGCTCACAAGCAAAGACTTCATAAACATGTGAATATCGAGGCAATCCAGCTATCGACAACACGGACATAGTGAGAAGGTTCAAAAAAACTAAATCTTTTGAGTTAGTGTAGTGTTAAAAAAATAGTGAAAGTATTAAGAATACAGTGCTATCAATATAGAACACAAAAACAAAGTGTCTTCGCCTTAACTAGAGACTTTAAAAAAACTGCCATTGGACACATTCTTAGATATTTTAATTTATAAAACTAAGTTAAAGTTAAATTACTCATCAGCCTTGTTGGTTAGATCGTAATAATATTAGGTTACAATATTTTAGTATTGTTACCTAGAAAAAAAATATAACTTAACTGAATATGACTGATATTTTTCTTCGAATAAAACGTGAGACATTTTACATTGCAAAGTAAATTCGGTGCACTTGATTTTTTTAACATTTAGCACTTTCGATGGTTACTTCAAACCAGTGATGAATGCTTTGTTTACTGCGTCATGGTTAGATTTAATACACTTGACTTTAAAAATTAACAAAGTATTGTCAGCAATACCACATTTTCTTCACATAAATAAAAATAAACAGTAAAAGCGCCATTTGTGAACATGGTCTTTCCGGATTGCTGATTTTCCAAAAATTAATTTAGATAAGAGAGATGAGCTCATTATTTTATTTTACTTCAATGAGAGCACTATTTAAATCTTTTGGAAATTTTACACAAACTCCAATTCCAAATCGATACGTATGCCATCTATTGACTTTTATTTGAACTAATTTCTTTGCTTCTGATGAGACCCATGGTGATTGTGAAACTTTTTATTCACCTTACCTGCCATTTCAAAAGTAGAATAAGAACCGTTTTATTTATATTAAAAAAGCAATGCCAAGGAAATAAAACAATAATATAAGCAATATCAACAATATATTACAATTTTTATCATTATACATATGAGAGCCTACTTTAACAAATTATTGTTATTAAGTGGTTTATAATTTACGATAGAAAAATAGATGTGACAAAATAACATTAACATCAACCACATAGAATTTAGTATTAATGCGTTATATTTTATGGTCCTGTTCACTCGTAACCATTTATAAAAATTATTTTCATTTGTGAATAACAATTTATTTAAATAGTGTTTTAGAAAAAAACTACAACAGTGTAGGTTATCTAGTAAGAAAATATTTTTCTATGTTTAATTATTCAACAAGTGTGCAGGCAAGCCTCATCCAAAATGGATAAATCTATACATATTGTAGAAATCAATTCACTTGAAATATTAGTTGCGAACTAATTTTATAAGATGGTATGAATGAATGAATGAATGGTCAGACAGACCAGCTATCTATAAGCCGACTGAATTAAAAAAGTGTTGAATAAACTATTTCATTCATATTAAATGTAAAGTAATTGTTGTATTATAACATGATTATTTTTATAAACTGATTACGAAAAAAAACATTCCTTTATTTTTATATTGTACTCGACCAATATTTATTTAAAAATTGACAATTCAAATAAGAGTGTTCATTTTATTTATTTATATGATAAAATAATATAGAATATTCCTAAATATGACATAGTTAAAGCGTAAAGATTTCTACAATAAGTACCAATCATTTTCGTATCATCATACTAATTTTACTTATTCTTTATATAATATATATCACCGAGTCTAATTGTCTCTATAGCAAAATAGTGAAAATTTGAACATTATTATTTCATACAGTGCAAATGCATACTAGGTATAGGCAATTGTGAGAAATTTATAGCCTAAATATTGTGATTTTTGACCTTTTGTCGAAATTGCTTAACTTATGTGACAGAAACTAGCCCTACGTTTAGCACACAACAGTTTTAGTTCTATATTACATATTATGTATGTATAAACTAATTTCATAGTTTTATTTAAGTGATGGAATCCTGGTTTTATTTTCTCAAAGAGATCGTTACATGAATCTTGAGCTTATATAGGATATACATATCAATATCTCAATTAAAAATTACACAATCAAAAATAGTGACAAGTTTTATATTATATTTAATATTATAATAGGGTTTTAGACTAGCATACTTGCTTCGACAGTATAAAACAAATTATATACAAGATAATATTATAATATGGAGTTAAAAAATCTTTGGCAGCTGAAAAACTGTAGAAAATTACTTATAAAAGTCTTGTTTCATTTATAGTTCAAGAATATTTTCTTTCTAGTCTACAACCCTATTATTATAATTAAGAAAATAAATTAAAATATGCATTTTGCTTTTTGTATATGCAATTGTTTCAGAATAATATCCATGATATGATCATATAATGACAAGTTCACCATCAGATATGTACCAAAATTATATCTAGAAATAGTAATATTTTAATGTGTACGATTTTGTTGAAGCGTCTATATAATATTCAATTCCATTAGTTGCATGTAATGTAAAATCTAACAATTAAATCTAAATTTTGTATTGATTTAGTTTATTAAATGTTCTTACTTGTATAAGTTGACTGATTAGTATTATGTTATAT